TGCTGTTTTGACCTTGGACTCTTGCTTTCTGTCATTTCTTTACCTTTCAAATGCCACGTAGAATGGAGGGACAGAGATAATATGAATAGAAGGAAATATTAAATTGTATGTAATTATTGTCATGCAATTTTATCCCGCTCTCTGCCTGAATCGAAGTGCTTCAGGCTGCACCTACGCAGCGGTTTATACATAAACTGTTAAAAGAATGAAACTCATTTGCTCCTAAAGCATGTTTTTTCTCTTGCTTTCCAATATAACATAAGGGATACTACCTTTTCCTTCTCCTGCAGCTGAAAATATCTTTCAAACAGAGATAGTGCACGGAGGGGATGGGCTGTTAAGCCATATCATTATGCAAACATATTCTTATTCAAATGAATGTGTTTGACCAACTACTGCAGGATATAAATCCATAAAAGATATCCCATTTCTACCATTTGAGGGGAGAAATAATCTGCTTTTAGTATGGCCTTGAGAGCAATCTCTTCTGGATGTGTTTTGAATGCCTAACGTTCTTCTTTTCTATTTGTTGGTCTTATTTTCTTTCCTCATATTGGAAATCTTAGTCTTTGAACATTTCACTTTATTAGATTTCTCAGTCTAAAACGCAATCATAATACTTAATTTTTTTGACTGAAACTCTCAGATATAGTGGAAATTGAAATTAGAAATGTGAAAGGACAATTTTCTTCTCCTATTACAGTTACTTTTTAACAGTTGTAAAACAATCATTAAAAAGCAATAAAGATCCTAACACCGAAGGACTCTTTAGGAACGTGCTCGCAAAACCAATTTAACTCAAGTTTGTAATGAACCTCCATTTGTATGTACCATTTGTTTCCTACAGGGATTCCCCTATTTTTAGATGTGTGGAGAAGAAGATCCCCGCCCTAAAGGTCAACAGAGAGGGGAGCAGGGAGAGGCAAGAAAGGTCTCTGTGTGTCCATGCTGTCATTAAAATGGTTGGGCTAACAATAACTCAAGACAGTACGTCACCAGAAAACAATCGGCACGACTCATCTGGATGGGACACGTGAGTTTCAGGAAACATTTTGATCGCCTTAAACACTTTAGATGGCACCTAAGTATTTCTAATGTGATAATGCTTGTTAGTGTATTGTATAAAGTGTTTGAGGGTTGAGGCAGAATGTCATATCCTGTTTATTCACAGCATCCTCCGAGCCGGATACATAATTTAACACTAGATATAATGACATTTTAAAGTGTGATATGGAAACAAACATAGCATGCTATAGACTTTGCCTCGTTAATTATTCTTCCTACATAAAAGCAAGATGTAAATACCAGTACACCTAGAATAGGGAAGTAATATAATTGCCAGAACTTTCCTCGAACACACACGAACACAGAAAGGCATCTTTTTAGACTTTTCTGTGTTGCCTATAGACAGGCATCGGACATATTTGAATTCAAAGGCACAAGAGACAAGTACAAATGTTGTCCACCATTTCTTCAAAAATGGTCTAAAAAACTAAAAGTAAAGCCTATGTCTCAAAATAAATTGCCTATAATAACCAACATTCTCACAATGACTCTGACTATTCTTGTGAAGGGATAATGAGCACAGTTTTGACTAAAGGCCCAGGAATACCTCTCATCTTACACACCCACTGAATGCTGCAGATGACCAACATGTGGGTGTACAAACTGGTGATTAGCCAGCGTATCGCAGCAGTTCACTGCATCACACATGGCTGTGGGTATACGGGTAAGGAAGTGTGTTTGTATGCAATTATATGTGTGAACTTGAAGGTAGGCGGTGGAGAGGAGAGGGGATGTTTGTACAATGCAGTGTGTTTGTATATCTAAATTTGAACCTGAAGTCGCATGTGTATTTACATTCATCTGCTGGAGGAGCATTGTTCTGTTACACAATACACGCCTTTGACATTCCGGCTCCGCCTGTCAGCGGTCACAAAGGCCTTTCTCCCGGGCTTTGACATGTGTGAATCTGCTGCTGGCCTGCAGAGATAGCAGTGCTGTTAAGGACATGAGTGGGTGGACAGGCTGTGGAGACCTGCCGGACCTCCATCATGATCTGTCTTTCAAGCGGCACAACTTAAACTGTTGCTCATTCAAAAACATCAAACATCAAAGAGCTGATACTGAATGAGTGTCCTCCAAACAATCTGACGTCCTGTCCCAGTGATTGATGCAATGAGCAGGCACTCTGTCAGTGAGGCAGCAGTAAGATGTATCACTCCTCTTCATTCGATTAAAATGTGTGGGTTGTTGTAGTAATCACACTTTAAATGTTACTTTCAGGTACCAATTTAGGCAAAAAAGCTATTGTTTAATCCTTCACAAAGCAACATAAAGACATTCCCTCGTTACGATAAAAAATAATTACAAGATAAATACTTCCCATTTTCTAAAAACGTTCTTTTAACATATGTATGGTTAAAATATGTATTAAAAGTAACAGACACATTTTTAAAATAATATGCTTAAAGTCAAAGAAAAGTAAAACAAATAAATGATATATATTTAAAATGTGGACTTCACTCCAAAAGGTAAAAGTAGGCCTAAGAATGCATACTTCAACAAATTGTCAACAAATAAAATAATATTTGAACAATATCCACTTCTATAAAATTAATCAAACATAATGACTGGTGTTGCTTTAGTTGAGTTAATGTGGACTGTAGAGGAATATCAGATAAGGATTAGGAAACACTGTGATACAGTTTGGCTTAAATGAGGGGAAGGAGTCCATCGTTAGGGAGGCTGTGTAAATATGTTTATGTGACGTACATGCAAGCTGAAAGATGATCCCACATATCTCCATACATCCACCACCCAAACCATCACGGCTACCTGCCTCCATATTTTTATTGGTCCCATATTTGGTAGGAAAAAAACGCATGCACAAAGCATGTTTTTACATTCAAGACATTTCATAAAATGTCACAAAAAGAGACTGGGCACAGGAACACAGTCTTGATAGAAATCATACATTTACAGAATCTAACCACTGACATTTGACACATGACATCTGAATTAAATGTGTCAAACTTTAATTATATCTCCCCTACCGTGCCAACTAATGTAGTTTCTAAAGATTGTTCTTTTGGTGCAGAACGTTTAATGTCACTTAGAGTAGTTGAGATCTTTCAAACTGTGAAACTCTAACCTTTAAGTATTGTGCCCATCAAGCCAATTTAGAGATCATTTTTAAACATGGGGCACAGTGTGAATGCGAATCATCCTTTCAAGTTTCACCCAACTAAGAGCAGTAATGCATTAAAGGGGACCTATCATGCAAAATACACTTTTTGATGTATTTTATACATAAAGATGTGTCCCCGGTGTGTCAGGGAACTCACGCAGCATCAGAAAATAAAACCCTCTCTCTTTTCCTCCGTACCCAAATCTCTAAAAACGTTGCTACAACGGAGCTGATCCAGATTTGCGTCCGATATGACGTAATATCGGAAATGTAGGCTGGCTTTACTTACACCCACGGCCCTATCAGAAACGCTGCTACCAGAAACAATGCCCGACTGTTTTGGACGTAATATGGTCGATGTTTACATTAGCATCGCTAACACTCAGAGCTAACCTGTACTGGAGAGCATGTGTGTGAAGAAGCAGGAAATAGAAAGGAACTCACCTTGTGGTATAACCGGCAAGAGAGAAAGCCTTTGAGCTCCATACTGTTTCAGAAATAATCCTTGATAATCCATGATATGGCGTTTCATCACCGCAGTATCTGCCGGTAGAATCTCCCGCATGAGCTCAGCCCCCTCCTTTNTCTAAAAATGGGGGAACAACGGAGCTGATCCAGATTTGCGTCCGATATGACGTAATATCTGAAATGCGGACCCACTTTGCTATCAGAAACAATGCCCGACTGTTTTGGATGTAATATGGTCGGTGTTTACATTAGCATCGCTAACACTCAGAGCTGACCTGTACTGACATGCTCTCCAGTACAGGTCAGCTCTGAGTGTTAGCGATGCTAATGTAAACACCGACCATATTACATCCAAAACAGTCGGGCATTGTTTCTGATAGCAAAGTGGGTCCGNCACACACACACACACACACACACACACACACACACACACACACACACACACAAAGTTAATTATTTATCCACTTACTGAAATGCTGACATACACACCGCCCTGCCTGCAGTGTCACTATAGCCTGAGGTTACTGTCATAGGTACTGATGGAAAAGTGTACATCTTCAGAGGATCTGAGAGATAAATCATACAGGGGAACATTTTAATTAGGTTATACCTTATTCATTATATAATATATACATTATGATATACCACTTTTTAGCTCAGCGTGTACCACATGGTTCTTTAATAAATACAGGGTTTTTCATCCCAACACAAGATGATGCTGGTGTTTGTAGGTTGTAATTAATTCCACCAAGAAGGCATAATATTAACACATTTGCTACTATAACACTTTCTGTTTATTCTCTCTGTTGTGTACTTTCTCTTTGTACGCAATCATAGGGGTATTACATCATTCAGTATATGATGTCCTAGGCTACTGTAGTTTATCCCAGAATTCCTTATAATCCATTTGTATACTAACTGTTTTACATGGGGTTCTGCATTGTATTGTGTATATTTGGTGAAGTTAATCAGTACATGTCACACTATCAAGATTTTCCCTCAAATGTGAACCGTTTATTTTAGATATTGTGCTAATAATAGTCTCCAGTGATAATTTTCCACAGGACGCTGCTGCGACTGTTTCTACGATGGAAGCAGTGAGTGTGGACGGATCCATTCTGTCTTCGGTGGGGGGTTTCCTTTTAGCACAAGAAGTTGTTAAACCGTCATAAGTTACATTTTAGCTAATGGCTACATTTACTTTTGAGACGTGTTCTCATTCCTTTTATTCCAAATGATGCAGTTATTTCCAGCATTCAGACCAAGAATGTTAAATTGCCTTCGAAGGGAAAATAAAACCCTTTAGTTGTAAAGTGGGGAAGTCGGAAGAAAACCGAGCTCTGTGCCACATCTTCCACTAAACGATAAAGCCGCTACACAGGGGACTGGAGGAAGAATCGACACATAAGAAACAAAAATAACATTTAGCCTGTTAAAATAATCTTGTTTCTGTCTGAAAGTGACACACCGTAGTTACAGCGACTCGAGCATCTTTAATTACTCCCGTGTTGGTTTTTTGTTAAGAGTTTTATCAGTAGGAGGTTCGCTACTTAAAGTTGGCGTGAGGTGTGAAAGTGGGCTTAACCGAAGAGGACTTTTCGACTCCTTTATTAGGTAAGTTTACATCACTTTATATATAAAATACTGTTTAAAGCTATGTCCAGTCATCTCCGGTGCTTCCATATTGTATCCTGGTCTGCTGTGGCAATGTGTCCATAACGGAGGAGGCTGTTTATAGGATAAGGGCTACACCCTCCAAACCTCAGAGGTGGTAGAAGTACTCAAATCTTGTACAATCTTGTAAAAGTACAAGTACCAGAGTGTAGGAATACTCTGTTACAAGTAAAAGCCCTGCAATCAAAATGTTACTTAAGTAAAAGTACAAAAGTATTAGCATCAAAATATACTTAAAGTACTAAAAGTTCTTAATTGGCCCATTCCAGATGATTTTTATTAAATCGATGCATTAAAGTGAATCTAAGCTGGTAAAGATTCAGATACTTTTAATTTGTATACTGCAGGGTAGCTTGTGAATTTTACTCCATGTGTAACTAAAGTCCAATTTAAGTGTTGCTTATAGACATCATTAATCCATATCTGCAAAGTAACTAAAGGTTCAAACGTAAATGTAGTAAAAGTCTTAATTGGAGTGGGACAGAATTACAAAGTAGCAAACAATTTAAATACACATGTAAAGTACAAGTATCTCAAAAGTGTACTCAAGTACCATACTTCAGTAAATGTACTTCGTTACTTTCCACCACTGCCTAGCCTACATCTCACTTCAACTAAAAAAGTTTTAAAGTGTTATCCAGCAAAATGATATTGTATTTAAGGCAAGCTTTCTACCTAGCTTGAAACATAATGTAAACCAATACAAATGAAATAGTTGATATTCATGCATTAATTTGATTGAAGTCAGAGTAAGGCTGGGCAAGTTTGAAATCATTATCAAAAAACGTATTTAAATGTTCCTTTACTGGTAGGCAGAAGGAGAAGGAGTACTCAGAGTATTTACTTAAGTAAAAGTAGCAATATTACATTGTAAAATCTGGAATTATACATCCCTTAAAACTCTGCATGCTTGCCCGGCAACTCATTTCAACTAATATTTCCCACTTTTTCATCTCCCACTTTTTTAATTCAACACCAAAGCCAACATGTGAAGAGTCCATCCAAAAAGAAACATCCTTTCAACCTCACTGGTCAAATAAAAATAACTGTGCTGATTTTCCAGTAATGATCATTTGAGCAACAGCTATTAATGATGCATTAAATCATTTTAGTTGATGGTCTGGTTTCTATTAGATTAAACCATTTTTGAAACCAACGTCACACATTTGAAATGCAATCACACCGATTTTCAGATTCATCTCCTGACCTGATTGATAGTTACACCGTCTCCCTTTCTTAAGCCTTAGCACTACTATCCTGTTGCCTTGACGACTGGTGTGTCAGGGGACTTAATCCTGAACTACTGCATGTTTTTTTTCTGACGCTAATTCAAAGAGACTGCCACGAAGCAGTGCTGTACGTGTGAGATTTTGGAAAACTAATTGTACTCTTTCTTCCTCTAACACTGGACTAATGCCTCACCCACCTGATGCAGTGTTAGCACCACAGAGCAGTACACACAACTTCAGGCTGCCTGCTGCTCTGCCTTTCCACTGCACAGCAAGCACACCACACACACCACTACAAATGATGCTTTCTTTCTGTGCACCAAGCTACAGTATATCAGTGTTTTCTCTGTCATGTGTTTGCAGAGTTAATTAATAATACATCTTCTGTCAAATCTAGGACTGCAAATAATGAAAAAAATCATAATGTCCTATGGTAAAAGCCAGGTTATGGTGGTCTTCAATTGTCTTGTTTAGTTCAACAAACAGTCTCAAAATGTTGTATGTGATTTATGTGTAGTTTGATAAACAGTCCAAACCAAACATATAATTGTTTTAGTATAGACAACCAGGAACTATTTATAAATCAGAAGAAGGAACCTGACAAAATGATCTTCTCAGTTCACTGATAATCAAAAGAGCTACCACTTAATTATGTCTATTGGCTATATCTATCAATTGTTTTGTTGCCAAACAGCTTGTTTCCTTGAACAGTCAGAAGCATAATGAGCTCAATCAGCATGTATCCAAACACACACCCTTCACCTCTCCCTTGTTTCCTTCCTTTGAAATGTCTTCTTCGCTAATACAAGAAGTAATGAGCATCTAGGAAAACAGTGGAGGCCTTCTTTGTTTTTGACAAGCCCTTACCCAGGAAATGAAGCGTTCCTAAGAATGGCAAACGGCAGTGAAACTGGCCTGTTTGGGGGTTTACAAGATCTGGGGAGGGGGATACTTGCTGCAATGGAGCGTCATGTGAACCAGTCTCATTAGGAAGGGAACCCGCTGGAAAAAGTGGCCCATACAGTCACAGCAGGACTGGCTATGGGGGTTGGGGACAAGGGGCGAGTTGCTGTGTATTTGAGGGTCATTTCAAACACCAAATCTGGATTTCAAGGGGCTGCTGCGTATCAAACAACACTCACAGACAGCCTATAAGACAACTTATTCTGTTGCAGTGAGAGCGAGATTCTCTCTGCAAAGAAGGTCATGTAGATGTCACAACAATATCTCGCAGTTATTTCTGACCACATTTCAAAAATATTTTCCACTGGACACAAGTAGCAACCTTATATAAAAAAAAATGACTGTCCCAGCTCCCAGCTGTGAAAACATCTAAAACATCCTGTGACGTCTCAAATGCAGGCCTGTGAATACCTAGGAATAAAAAGAAAAAACAACATCGCTTGTCCCCCGTTTTCGATTGGAAGGCTACTTTTTTTTGTCCTGCTTTCTCAAATTTTTATTCTAGGATATGAGTAACTCAAGTCGTATGTAATACGCTTTAATTGTAACCCATGATTTGTTTGTGGAAATGTTTGTTTTTGTTTAGCTTTAAAGAGCATATTTCAGACGCCAGGAGAATCTCTAAAACTGTTTTGCGAGTTTGTTTTAACCAACATTCCTTTCACCGGAGACACTCTGTTTAGCTGTTTTCTCCCCAAATTATAACTGTCTCTTCTTACAAGCCAACTCTTAATTTAGCAGCAGAGGGCCTTGAAATATCATGGCAGCACGTTTCAGCCTGGAATCTTCCGGGTTTCATGTGGTTTTGTGAGTGTGAGGGAAGAAATAGCAACGCCCATATTTGTGTCTGCTCCGACTCAGCACTGAGCTGTCCTGGAAGAGGCCTTGTGACCCTGAGCGGAGGAGATGCTGCTTCTTCCTCATCCTGTTTCATGTTAGAGCGGAAGGACGGCGGCCTGCAGGGCAGTGTGGAGTTTATCCCACAACCCTGTTTAAACAGCAGATAGTGATATAAGACTGAGCGGCCCTTTTATTCTACTTGGTCAATCCTGCAACGTTAAGCCATAAAGGTTGCCACAGAGTTGGACAAGGCCCCACAAAATCTTATGATATTTTAATGCAATAAAAGGCTTTTGCTCTGATTTAAAGCATATCACATCACATATTATATTTTTGTAGGGATTCCGTTTGGCCAAATCTGAAAATTTAGCTCAAAGAAAAACAATCTTACAGAGCTTGGAGAATTTAAATTTTGAAACACTTATACTGAAAAAGAAATGTAATATTATCAAAGTCAACTTTATTGTCAATTTTCCAGTTTGTTTGTACAGACAGAGAGATCAAAATACCATTTCCCACAATTCAGAATATAAAAACAATGTATATAAAAATATTTGTGCAAAAACAAATACACAAACAAATGTATATATATACACACAGTCAAAGACACATGTGACATATGCACACATTAAGACCTAGATCAAAACAAAACAATAAAATATATACAAAATAACAGTCATTTCAATATTTTGAGAATGCAAGATTGTTCATAGAATGTGCATTTAGTGCGAGATTGTCGTTATGGCAATTAAATCACAACCTTTCACACTCCATCGGTTGGTGTTTAGCCTCATTCATTTAGGATATGTTGTTTTTGTAGCAACTCCAACATTTATTAAACCTTTAATTGCCCTTTGCTGAATTGCTGATTTTATAATTGAATCTGCACGAATAAGGGAACTGTGGAGGAGAGCTGTATTTAAAGTGCATCTGGTTCCATTGATTTATTTTCCATCCTTAAGCCCCAGTGACATTGTTAAGACTTTATGTCACTGGCTGCTCCTCAGATCTGCCTCTCACGCGACTCTGTGACTGCGATTCATGAAATTGCAGGAAATGACACCCCCGTGTGAAAATGAGTAATGAGGGCGTCCGTGTGTAAAAAAGAAAACCTCATCCAAATTCACACTGAGCTCATTGATTCTACGCCCCGATAAAATCGTGCTGTTGCCAATAACACAGGAGTAATGGGATTTCAATAACTGAACGTAAGAGAGCATGGGGATAATACATCTCTCTCTCTCCCGTAAAGTCATTATACGTAACACAGAAGAGTGGAGGTGTTATTCAGAAGAATGATTATGTAATTGAACCGCTGGTATTAGCTGGAAATAGTTTTTCTTTCTATGTGTCATACTTTTTCCATTCTTTCTTCCTCCCTGCCCCCGCACATCTCTCTTTCTGTCCCTCCCACACACTTAACCAGAGTCGTGTTGTAAAAGATTTGCTCAGGTTTTGCAAAATGTCTTCCTTTTATTTTCAAAAAAAGAGGATAAGCTGACAAGGGATACTTTTTTTTCAATTCTTCAACTCTTACTAAGAAACCAAAGTGCTTTCTTCTTATTCGAGAAATAACATCTGCCCCCACCACACTGTTTGTAAACTTAAAAAGCAAAGCAGCCCAAAGTGTCCTAACCTTTTGCATGCACACAGTGTCCCATCTAATCCTTATTATGCTGTTATGGCTTTACCCTGGATGTGTTGCGTTTATGCATCCTCATAACCTCAATCATCCGTACCCCTGCATACATGAATAAACCCATTTTGCAGAATATAACCATGGTAACGGATTTAGATAGAAGCCAGAGGTGATTAGGCCCAGGTGGTCAAATGGTTCATTCTCCCTGTTTACATTGGTATTTTTTGTATCCATCATTTGTCTTTCCATCTTCAATCAGTGTCTGAACTCCACCTTCACAGATTATTGTTGAGCTGAATCAGAATCCCTGTATTAGTCCCACAGAGGGGACATGTACATTGTTACAGCAGAAAAGAGCCAAAGACAGCGTAATGTTACCTAAGCATGCATAGAAAAAGTACTAAAGATAAAAAATAAAAAAATTACAATAGAAAAGTTACACATTTTACAAAAATACACATCCTGTAACAGTTCTGAGGATTTAGCAGTCAGGTATATAAAGTACAGTTTTTAACGGCATATATACTGCACATAGTTTTTTTTTTTTCACTTAGTCAAAAAAAAAAAAAAAAAGATCTTTTTTTTTTTTTGGTAAGCGCTTTTACAGGTGCTCAAAGTCGCTTCACATAGATAGTGAAAAGAAAAGAACACATACATATAGTTAAAGTCATTAAAATCAAGCAATACAACAACAATCACACATTAAAAGCCAGATTGAAGAGGTGAGTTTTTGAGTTTTTTGTCTCTGATGGGTTGTGGGAGTGAGTTCCAGAGGGAGGGGGCAGCCACGGAGAAGGCTCTGTCCACCCGGGTTCAGCGCTTGATGCGATCCATTTAACAACAAGAGGTGTTATAGTCGGTGTAGTTTTGTGTGAGGGGGTCTACTTGGATGTCTGACCATTTCACTAACAACAGTCGGTATCAGTCTGACCTTTATTGAAGTGGATTAATTGAGAATTAAAATGACCCAGGACACTTGCACCACCTCCACCATGCAGTTAAGGGTCGATAGATTATCACCCTGCTGGAGAATTAATAGTGTATTCACTGAGACGCACACATAGACACACATATTGTAACCTCCTTACATCTTGCTCCAGATTCCTCCCCCAGCCTGGCAGTTCATCAGCACACTTTTTACGATACAACACCGCTGCAAGCCGAGAGAAATTATTGAACCGATGAATGATTTATGATACTCATACAGGGATATTAATGAGCGTTGTTGGTCACCTGCAGGAGCAGAGGAGGCAGAGCATAGGACACGAGGAGAGTAGAAGCACAGAGGAGAAGTGTGAGGAGAAGGTCCACACACCAGCTACCCGCCTGCCGTCCTGAGAGCGCTGAGTCATGGGGAAACAGAACAGCAAGCTGCGGCCCGAGGTCCTGAACGACCTCCGGGAAAACACAGAGTTCACGGATCACGAGCTGCAGGAGTGGTACCGCGGCTTCCTCAAGGACTGTCCCACCGGACACCTGACCGTGGAGGAGTTCAAGAAGATCTATGCCAACTTTTTCCCCTACGGAGACGCTTCGAAGTTCGCCGAGCACGTCTTCCGCACGTTCGACACCAACGGGGACGCCACCATCGACTTCAGGGAGTTCATCATCGCCCTGAGCGTCACGTCTCGCGGCGGGCTGGAGCAGAAGCTGCGCTGGGCCTTCAGCATGTACGACCTGGACGGGAACGGATACATCAGCCGGGCCGAGATGCTGGAGATAGTTCAGGTGAGGATAAACTGTATTATTCATTGTTTGTATATTCTATGTTTATATATCAATCTGTTGTCTAGTTTGGGTCAAGATCAGCCTTATTCTGCCCCTTCTGAGATATAAACGCAACCTAATGAGGCTCTGTTATCTGTCTTTCATGAGTACTTAAAATGTTGCTGATACTACACAATGATTACTCAAATGCTACAAATTATAATTTAAATGTTTTGACTAGTTATCAAATGATTATTTCCACCTATGATGGATCTTATCAGTACATTTTCAAACAAATATACAGTATATCCATAATCATTTCTATTCATTCCAGACTTAAGGCTACACACAGAGGTTACTTTCTACAGATTTGAATTCCAAATAAAGCTGCAACTAACTAATTGTCTGATTTAACAGTATAGTATGTCAAAAATATGCAAAGAAAACGATAAAGTCTAGTATTTAATAATAAAAGTAAACAAAAACATAGTATAGTACGTCTAAGTAATAAAAAAATAAAACATAATACAGCATGTCGAATATATTCAAACAAACGATGTGTTGGGTACTATGTTGTTTGTATCGGCAAACGAAACAACATGGTAAATGGTATCTCAAAATATATTCATTGATCATATTCAGTTTACTAAAACATACATTAGGGCTGCTCGATTATGGCAAAAATCATAATCTCAATTATTTGGGTCAATAATTGATATGACGATTATTAAAAACGAATATCCATTTACTTTGAAAACATAAATTTATTGAAAAAAACTGTTGATTACCCTGAACTTTAAGTATAATTCAACTGAAAAACCAATAAATAATAATAATCGTTTTATTTCGGATTATGTGGTTTTCATAATCGTTGCAAGCCAAAATCGTAATTGCGATTAAAATACGATTAATTGAGCAGCCCTAACATACATACAAAAAGCCAACCTTCACATCTCAGCTGCTGAGGACTTCTTAATACATTTGCTGCTAAATGACTGAAATAATTAATCAATTATCTGAAGAGCAGTTTCCAAATATGGATTCATCCACTACTGGTCCCAGAGCTTTCTGTGTTGAGACTGTTTTAGAGGTCATTTTCTGATATGTTCTCCTCACATCATGGATGCAGGCTGCCCTCTCTGTTTTCTTTCTTATCTCTATGGCTATATTTACTCTCCCAATATGGTGAGCCGAGCAGCCTGCAGCACCCAAATCAATATTGGCTCAGTACGTTGTTTGTGGATACAAATGAATGTGCAAAAAACTCAAAAGCATCAGAGCTTGTGTTATCAGTGAATGCTTTCTGTTTTTCCACAACACCTCTCACATCCCAGACCTTTAACATGATTCTGAAAAAGTGTTGAGCTGTAAAAGATACAAATAGATGCATCTGAGAAATGTTCACAGTGTGTTATTGCGAGAGCAAGATGAGCTTCAGTTGCCAAAGCAGCATCATTACCAGGTAGCAACAGAAAGCAGGTCAAAGCTTTCAGACAGACAGATGTAACAAACGGGTCAGGTGGGAACACTTCTTTTGTATCTTCTGTTCCTAAAAGCTTCTCCAGACGACACAATAAAGATGCTCATAACAGCAATCGTTTCCACTCCTCTCTGTAGGCAATTTACAAAATGGTCTCATCAGTGATGAAGATGCCTGAGGATGAATCGACCCCGGAGAAAAGGACGGACAAGATCTTCAGACAGATGGACATTGACAATGATGGTAAGAATAGAAGAAGTTGATTATATTTTTTCGTAAAAATAAGGAGTAAGAAGTGAATACTTGCCCAAACCGACCCTTTAAAGTTGGACATAAATATTCATACTTTTTACCCCAGTGTAAACAGGCAAAACAACATCATCAAAAACAACCCATCCTGACATGTAGCCTGTCTTAGTGCCTTCCTCTTCGATCACCCGTCTCACGTCCATTCTGTATTGTTGTTTAAATTAAAAATCAACTTTTCAATTTTCTTAAATAGAATGATCTTTGACATTAAACAATGACCGCCACAGAGCAGGTTTCAAAACAACAGGACATTTGGAAGATGGAGGACAGAGAGAGAAAGACACTGACAGAGAATAGGACGTCATGTAACAACGTGACATAACATGACTCAGCAGATAATTAACAGCCTTTTGCACCTCGGCCTGCTGAGCCAGCTCGACGTCAGAGGCTTGACATTTAGTGTGAAAAGGTGACGCTGCAGCCATGTGCCGTGGACTTAACCCTTTCACAAGCTGTAAGATATTTAGAGCCACTCCTCTGACATTGGGCAGTGTGTGTTGAAGCAGGAGGTCCAGGAAGTCTGGAGGTCAAACTGTGTGTCTGAAGTTTAATAAGATCAGCAGACCAGGCCTGGGGGCACAGCTGCAGCCGACACGCCTTCCTAATGCATTTACACAGATGCTGTGTGACGGAGAGCGGTATTTATTTTTAAACCAATCACGGTCAACTGTTGCATTTTATCTTTGTGGTCGAACACTCAAACAAATGATGCAATATTGCAATATGCTGACTATTGGTCGGTGGAACACACTACCAATATACAAGATATATTGTTGAAAATTTAAATAGTGCAAGAACATTGTTACTATTAAACCATTTAATTTTGAGTAACTATGACGGGTTTTTGTAGTTATTAATTCTTTTTTATTTTTTAATTGTGTTGCTTCCAAAGAATATTTAGTTACCCCTTGTTTATAATCTAAAAATCCATATAATATGATAATATTTCTAATTAATAATATTTTTATTGGAATAATTTTTGCTATAATTTGATAAAAATAATTTTAAATATGTGTCATGCTCTTTGAGTTGGAACCAGTAATATTGATATATACAATAAAATACAGATGTTGCCAATTCCTATTTTTCTCAAATCAGTGCACCCTGAATTATAAGACTCAGCTGCAGGTTGATTTGTCAGCTATGACTCAATTATTCAGTCATAACATGTCACTGCAAGTTCATTGTTATTTATTTTCTAAGTGTAGCACACTTTGCCTTTGCTGTTGTCTGGGGTAGCAGAGAATATGTTGAAGGCACCGACGCCTGAAATAACCATCAGAGGTTTTCCTGCTAGGTGTTGGAGGCTTTTTTCTGCGTGACTCACCCGTCCATCACACGCTCCACTGCCTGCGACTGAATCCTTTATTCTGGGTCTCTGCTTCACAGGTAGACTGTCGTTGGAGGAGTTCATTAAAGGTGCCAAGAGCGACCCGTCTATTGTCAGACTGCTGCAGTCGGATCAGGGAGCCTCTCGTCAGTTCTGAGGAGGAAAGAGACAATAACACACACACACACTGAAACACAATCCGACCCCCTCACCAGACAATCCTTTCCTTTTTCAAACACTCCTAGTCTTATTGTTTACATGAATGAATATTTCTCTTGTCAATGTGGCCCCCTCTCTGTGGACTGACGTGCTTCAGTAGAGGTATTTTTCTATATCGCTTTTTCCAAAGCTCCCTTGCCTTGAAATGGCTTTTACCTGTTCTCCTTAAGTGAAGTGCCATATCATATATTTATACTGACTGGAGAAAATGCTTGCAAGTATTATCAATCCCATTATGTTACACCTAGAGGAAACTAATTATCACTTCAACTTTACCTGTGTTGATAAACGGCTCGTTGTTGTTCAGGATGTCACGTTGCTCTTCTGGACAACTTCTACATTTGGTATTGCATGCGCTCTGTGATGAGATTTCTGATTTTGTAACAGTTTACGTAAATAAGGAGGCTGTGATTGTTTTTATCTGTTTTTATTTTTGTAACAAAAATGTTGTTTTCACACAATGAAATAAAGTCGTGTAAGAAAATCTACACAAGAAGTCCCACGATATCCCCTTGTCCTGGAAAGACATGATGGAAAACCCAACAAGACTCACTTACGGGTTGAAAAAAGAGAACAAAAAAAATATAAGTCACATTAGGGTTGATTATTGAAGTGTTACTTTGACAAGTACACATTTTAAAATAGGTTTTTTTTTTTTAAAGGAGGGCTGAGGAGGGGAGAGGGGAACAGTGTTTGAAAAAGACTTGAATGAACCACTGAAATGCCATTCAGAACCTCCTCCCTCCTCTCCTCAGCTGGGGGCGGCCATTTAAATCAGTGACGTTCAGCAGGTATGTGAAGCAGGGGTCACTCCAGGGACACGACACGACACAGCGCGCCCCCCCCCTCCCTCCCTCCCTCCTGGTCCTGTGTGATTGACAGATGTGAGAAACGGCAGGTGTCTCTTGTGTCTTTTCTGGAAAATTTCAGTAACTGGGCGACCGGGCCTCCCATTCGTCCACAGGAGAGAGGAGGCGGGTCGCACAGGACCGGATCAGACCAGATTCCACCTGCCGGCCTGGATCAGGTCCCGCCCCCTTTGGGCTCATAACTCAATTTTAGACAAAAACTCATCATCATCCAGGTCGACGTCACTGAGGTCGTAGTCCTCCTCCTCGGGAAGCTGCAGAATATAATCAAAGACGACTGTTAGCAAAGCATGGGATTAGAATTTCACTTCGAATAAAAAAAAAATCTAAATTAGCAGATTAGCAGAGACGAATGACCACACATGGACTTTTCAAAAAGAAACAACATGTAGAGAACTCCCAACTACCATATTACATAATCATGATTTATTGATATCCTGATTTGCTCTTCTGTGTGCATGAATGCAGCAAGGAGCAGGTAGCGGTAGCTAAGGCTGAAGCAGTACGCATTAAATCCCCCCTCTGATGTCTTTCAGGCATGACACTCATTCGTCAGCTTTCTTGACTTTGGTCAGGACTATACACTGACTTTGACTGGCATTTAACTACACTGACGACTTTTCTTTAATCACATACAATACTATGACCTACCCTACTATATTTAGATTTTTTTGGCATACTTCATATTTATTGTATGGTATTTTTATGACATACCATAGCCTACCATGAGTTTACTCAATATTGTTGAGGTTATCTTGTCTGAATAATCTTTAGTGGAGTGCTCAAGACCCGGTCCTCTGATTAATATAACAAGAGCCGGCATTTTTTTGCTTTGCAGAACGGTAGAGTAAAACTAATGTATCATAAATAAAACATACAGTATCTGCCCAGCTTCAAGCTTTCTGTCAAACAGCTGTAAACCTTTTGTCATTAGTTTTCCATCTTTGCCCATCATGTGATTTCTGGTCTGATCCCACTCACCTGTCCATCTTTGCCGTCCCATGGTGCAACAGTGTGAACTTTGGGCATGGACCCATTTCCCAGAGTGGCAGTGGAGCCACGGCCCACAGAAAGCTCCCTGAAGAGAACATGAACAACATCATTCAGCTTTGAGGCGTCATTTTATTTTGATATTTTTGTAATGCTAAAAAAAGAAAATGTACCTGAGGAACTCATGAATGCCCGTCTCACTGAAGGAGCCTCTGAGGAGAGCGAACTTCATCTTGCGAGAGTTGATGGCGGCCATGGCCGGGTAACCAAAGCCTCCGATCCCCAGAGCGGCCTCCAGCTCCATCTGAGTGCCCGCCTCCGTCCACAGCCAGCTGATAGAGAGACACAGACTATTAGCCACAGTCATAAAGAGGTCATTTGTATAAAAACCTGTGACTGGTCTATCAGTCTTACCCCCAACTCTTCTTCTTGTACTTCTCTGCCATCTTCGTCATCACCTCCAGGTATCCGTTTCTACCTGCTGCGCCTGGTGAGATACAAACACAGAGGATGGTGAGCGAGTGAGTCAAGAATTGTTTGTAATAGATCTCAGCAGTTATTGGATTAGCTATTGAATAACACAGTATAACAATTAAACAAGTTTGAGCTGAAAAAACATAAGGTAATTAATTCATCTTAAAGTTATGAAATGCTTTGTTTTTAATTCAGTGTCAAAATCTCAAAGATCTCTGTTGCGTTCGCTTTGGCGCCATCTATGGTGATACGTGTTGATTTAAGGTTTATTTTTAGATCTCACTTTTAATAGTTATTTAAGTTTGATTGTCTGTCGTCTCTTTCACTTGCAACTCTAGCAGATACTGAAAACAAAGCGGGAGTTTGGTGTGTTCCTGGAATATCATCACAGACATCTAGTACGTAATACTGCAAATACAAGAGCTTTCGTCAGCGGGCCGTAGCCTCAATTAGCAACATGTACCTCTTTCTAGAAGAGTGACTTAACAGATATTTCTTTAGGTGAATTCTAGAGATCAGTACTTAAGGTTATTTTCTGAACGGTACAACATGTTGAGGGTGAGAGTTGTGTCTGGTCCCACCTGTGTCCAGGATGTGGGGCAGGACACCGATTACACACAGCTGACTGTCCACACAGGTCTTCTTCAATGTGTCTTCACTGAGGATCTGAGAAAAAACATTAACATTATAAACTGATTTAGTTGAACTGATTTCATGTAGAGACAGACATCAAAGGGTCGAACCATGAGATTGTTTCCCCCTTTGATGTCTGTCTTTAGTGTGTTATCGTGCAACACTTCACAGATATATCATTTTTTTTTTTGTTTGACTGGAATGTTTAATTGCTGGTAGAATGAACTTTAGTTTAATCAACTAAGTAGCACAATATATTTAAAAAAGGGATTCCCTTGTGGTTAAAAAATGCAAAAAATATCACCTCTAGATGATTTACTTTGGCCCTTCTCGACCACTTTTGTGAATATAGTCTAATGTCAGCACTATAAACTTTCATCCACCAATGTATGACGCAAGTTCGCGATTGCACTGACCTCCAGCAGCTCAGGAGGAGGAGCGTGGTCAGAGAACAGATCCAAAGCCCTGGCGATGATGTCTCCTCGGGTGCGACCTCCCTGGAAGTCTTCGGGCTCCTCCCCTTTACGGAAGATCTTGATGGTGGGGAATCCACGGATCTACAAATACATGACGCATATATTTTTCCAGTGCTGCAAATAAATGCCATTGATTCAGTTGCTCATTAATAATAAACTAGAGATTCAGCATTGGTAAAATACCCTTTCTTTTATTTTGATGTTGCAATGATTGCTTAAACTAAAATGTTATCAATAGCTGGAACAGCATGACATTGAGCAAGAAATACAAAAGTAGAGAAAAAAAAAAATCATTAACAAGTTAGATTTCCTCAGGCCTGATTGAAAATACATGTTCTGACTTACTGCACACCTGGTTTAAATCGCTTTGTTCTCTTAAAGTCTATGTTTGAGTTTATATAAAAAAAAACAACAACACTCATTTAACTATTTAGTACCAAGGTTTCAGATTAGACCATCAGGGATGATTAAAGGTCAAACCAACTCGTGCAAACAGATCTGACAGCTTGTGTAACGGCTCGGTGACCGCATCAAGTTCAGACTAATTTGGCTATTTAATTTTTGTTTAACCTAAACCAAGGTTAAAAGCATAATAACTGTGGTCAACATGTATCATGAAAAAGGAGGACGTTCTAACTTTTCTTTGACTTTCATAACAGTAGTTGTTGTCAGAACTTTGCCCCACAGTGACTCCTCACTCACCCCGTAGCGGCCGGACACCGCCTGGTGGACGGTAGCGTCCATCGCTCCGAGGCGAACTTTGCCCTTGGTCTGCTCCATCACTGCTGAGGCTGCAGCTGTCCACTCAGGCTCCAGGCTGCGGACCACAAAAGAGAGCAACGCTTAAAACACACACACACACACACACACACACACACACACATGATATACTGAAAGGAATAATTCAGCAGTAAAGAATTTTTTTATTATAAAGACGTTTTCTTTCTTAAACATCTGCTTCTGAAATGCTGCCCTCCAACGTAGAAAAAGTTCCAGAGTGGTGTCACATTAAAGAAATAAAAACAGCTCAGATCTCAGAAACAGTTTTAATGAAGATAATAGTCTACTGAATAATACTTCCAACAGTGTTGTCAATCTGGTCCGTGGAATATCCAGATGTACTGGGCCATTTTATCCAGAAAGAAACATTGCTTAGTCTATCGAACAACGCATTTTAGTTCTTCGAGAAGCACAAACAAACCCTGATTAGCTCTGCAGTATTTGGACACCATACTCACTTTTTGCAGTGTCCACACCAGGGGGCGAAGAACTCCACCAGCCACACTTCCTCACCCTGCAGCACCATCTTGTCAAAGTTGTCATCAGTGAGCTCGACCACATCCTGCTTGCTGCCAGCACCACCGCCACCGCTCTGTTGGGAGGCAGTGGACAGTCACTCATCAAAGCTATCAGAAGTGTTTGATCTTATTCATTTTAAATAATGAGTCTGAGTCAGAAATGTCCTCCCCAGGATCCCTGCTGGAGCTCACCTGTTTGTACCCGGAGCCGCCGGACTTTCCGCTCAGCCGGTCCTTCACCAGACTGTTCAGAGACTTCATCGCTCCGTCCACGATGGCCTGGCTAGTGCGACCCCCTGCAGAGCAAAGAGATGCAGGGCTCAGTTAATCCAACCAAAAATGTATTATAGAAACTTAAAGACTTTGTTACAATAAACATTAACAAGGCCTGGGACCCCCCCTGGCAGTGACTACCATCCACCCCATAAAAACATTAAATTAATGCACATCATGCAAACAATATCTTGTTCTTTATAATACTGTAAATCCTGCACAACCCCTTTTAACATCTGCAAAATTCTCCACTTTGAATATAGTATTTGTACGGTATTTTTATTTGTTACAATAGTTTTTATAATGGCACCATATTTTGCTCCTTGTAAAAATAAACGTATTCTCTTCTGTGTCTTTGTATGCACCATTTACACCGAAGCAAATTCCTTGTATGTGTAAACCTACTTGGTAATAAACCGGATTCTGATAACTCCAACATTTAGAAAATACCCTAAAAGGCAATTACGTTTTTCGA